GACACCAACAGGTTGACAATGACAGGTTGACACCAACAGGTTGACAATGACAGGTTGACACCAACAGGTTGACAATGACAGGTTGACAATGACGGGTTGACAATGACAGGTTGACACCAACAGGTTGACAATGACAGGTTGACAATGACAGGTTGACAATGACAGGTTGACAATGACGGGTTGACAATGACAGGTTGACAATGACGGGTTGACAATGACAGGTTGACAATGATGGGTTGACAATGACAGGTTGACAATGACAGGTTGACACCAACAGGTTGACACCAACAGGTTGACAATGACAGGTTGACAATGACAGGTTGACAATGACAGGTTGACACCAACAGGTTGACAATGACAGGTTGACAATGACAGGTTGACAATTTCAGTTGACAATGACAGGTTGACAATGACAGGTTGACAATGACAGGTTGACACCAACAGGTTGACACCAACAGGTTGACATTGACAGGTTGACAATGACAGGTTGACTATGACAGGTTGACAATGACAGGTTGACACCAACCGGTTGACAATGACAGGTTGACAATGACAGGTTGACAATGACAGGTTGACACCACAGGTTGACAATGGACAGGTTGACAATGACAGGTTGACAATGTCAGGTTGACACCAACAGGTTGACACCAACAGGTTGGACAATGACAGGTTGACAATGACGGGTTGACAATGACAGGTTGACAATGACAGGTTGACAATGTCAGGTTGACACCAACAGGTTGACAATGACAGGTTGACAATGACGGGTTGACAATGACAGGTGACAATGACAGGTTTGACAATGACAGGTTGACACCAACAGGTTGACTATGACAGGTTGACAATGACAGGTTGACAATGACAGGTTGACACCAACAGGTTGACAATGACAGGTTGACAATGACAGGTGGACAATGACAGGTTGACAATGACAGGTTGACACCAACAGGTTGACACCAACAGGTTGACAATGACGGGTTGACAATGACAGGTTGACACCAACAGGTTGACAATGACGGGTTGACAATGACAGGTTGACAATGACAGGTTGACAATGACGGGTGGACAATGACAGGTTGACAATGACAGGTTGACAATGACGGGTTGACAATGACAGGTTGACAATGACAGGTTGACACCAACAGGTTGACAATGACAGGTTGACAATGACAGGTTGACAATGACAGGTTGACAATGAAAAGTTGACACCAACAGGTTGACAATGACAGGTTGACAATGACAGGTTGACATCAACAGGTTGACAATGACAGGTTGACAATGACGGGTTGACAATGACAGGTTGACAATGACAGGTTGACAATGACAGGTTGACAATGACAGGTTGACACCAACAGGTTGACAATGACAGGGTTGACAATGACAGATGGACAATGACAGGTTGACATGACAGGTTGACAATGACGGGTTGACACCAAACAGGTTGACAATGACAGGTTGATAATGACAGGTTGACAATGACAGGTTGACAATGACAGGTTGACAACCAACAGGTTGACAATGACAGGTTGACAATGACAGATGGACAATGACAGGTTGACAATGACAGGTTGACACCAACAGGTTGACAATGACAGGTTGACAATGACAGATGGACAATGACAGGTTGACAATGACAGGTTGACACCGACAGGTTGACACATGACAGGTTGACAATGACAGGATGGACAATGACAGGTTGACAATGACAGGTTTGACAATGACAGGTTGACAATGACAGGTTGACACCAACAGGTTGACACATGACAGGTTGACAATGACGGGTTGACAATGACAGGTTGACCAATGACGGGTTGACAATGACAGGTTGATGACAGGTTGACAATGACAGGTTGACTATGACAGGTTGACTATGACAGGTTGACACCAACAGGTTGACACCAACAGGTTGACAATGACAGGTTGACAATGACAGGTTGACAATCACAGGTTGACAATGACGGGTTGACACCAACAGGTTGACAATGACAGGTTGACAATGACGGGTTGACAATGACAGGTTGACAATGACAGGTTGACAATGACGGGTTGACACCAACAGGTTGACAATGACAGGTTGACAATGACAGGTTGACAATGACGGGTTGACAATGACAGGTTGACAATGACAGGTTGACAATGACAGGTTGTCAATGATAGGTTGACACATGACAGGTTGACAATGACAGGTTGACAATGACAGGGTTGACAATGACAGGTTGACACCAACAGGTTGACAATGACAGGTTGACAATGACAGGTTGACAATGACAGGTTGACAATGACAGGTTGACAATGACGGGTTGACAATGACGGGTTGACAATGACAGGTTGACAATGACGGGTTGACAATGACAGGTTGACAATGACAGGTTGACAATGACGGGTTGACACCAACAGGTTGACAATGACAGGTTGACAATGACAGGTTGACAATGACAGGTTGACAATGACGGGTTGACAATGACGGGTTGACACCAACAGGTTGACAATGACAGGTTGACAATGACAGGTGGACAATGACAGGTTGACAATGACAGGTTGACACCAACAGGTTCACAATGACAGGTTCACAATGACAGGTTCACAATGACAGGTTGACACCAACAGGTTGACAATGACGGGTTGACAATGACAGGTTGACAATGACAGGTTGACAATGACAGGTTCACAATGACAGGTTGACAATGACGGGTTGACAATGACGGGTTGACACCAACAGGTTGACAATGACAGGTTGACAATGACAGATGGACAATGACAGGTTGACAATGACAGGTTGACACCAACAGGTTCACAATGACAGGTTCACAATGACAGGTTCACAATGACAGGTTCACAATGACGGGTTGACACCAACAGGTTGACTATGACAGGTTGACAATGACAGGTTGACAATGACAGGTTAACAATGACGGGTTGACAATGACAGGTTGACAATGACAGGTTGACTATGACAGGTTGACAATGACAGGTTGACTATGACAGGTTGACAATGACAGGTTGACAATGACAGGTTGACTATGACAGGTTGACAATGACAGGTTGACAATGACGGGTTGACAATGACGGGTTAACCATGACAGGTTGACAATGACAGGTTGACTATGACAGGTTGACTATGACAGGTTGACAATGACAGGTTGACAATGACAGGTTGACAATGACAGGTTGACTATGACAGGTTGACAATGACGGGTTGACTATGACAGGTTGACAATGACAGGTTGACAATGACAGGTTGACAATGACAGGTTGACAATGACAGGTTGACTATGACAGGTTGACAATGACGGGTTGACTATGACAGGTTGACAATGACAGGTTGACAATGACAGGTTGACTATGACAGGTTGACAATGACAGGTTGACAATGACGGGTTGACAATGACGGGTTAACCATGACAGGTTGACAATGACAGGTTGACTATGACAGGTTGACTATGACAGGTTGACAATGACAGGTTGACAATGACAGGTTGACAATGACAGGTTGACTATGACAGGTTGACAATGACGGGTTGACTATGACAGGTTGACAATGACAGGTTGACAATGACAGGTTGACAATGACAGGTTGACTATGACAGGTTGACAATGACGGGTTGACTATGACAGGTTGACAATGACAGGTTGACAATGACAGGTTGACTATGACAGGTTGACAATGACAGGTTGACAATGACAGGTTGACAATGACAGGTTGACTATGACAGGTTGACAATGACGGGTTGACTATGACAGGTTGACAATGACGGGTTGACTATGACAGGTTGACAATGACAGGTTGACAATGACAGGTTGACTATGACAGGTTGACAATGACGGGTTGACTATGACAGGTTGACAATGACAGGTTGACAATGACAGGTTGACAATGACAGGTTGACAATGACAGGTTGACTATGACAGGTTGACAATGACGGGTTGACACCAACAGGTTGACAATGACAGGTTGACAATGACAGGTTGACTATGACAGGTTGACTATGACAGGTTGACACCAACAGGTTGACAATGACAGGTTGACTATGACAGGTTGACAATGACAGGTTGACTATGACAGGTTGACTATGACAGGTTGACACCAACAGGTTGACAATGACAGGTTGACAATGACAGGTTGACTATGACAGGTTGACAATGACAGGTTGACAATGACAGGTTGACAATGACAGGTTGACTATGACAGGTTGACAATGACGGGTTGACTATGACAGGTTGACAATGACGGGTTGACTATGACAGGTTGACAATGACAGGTTGACAATGACAGGTTGACTATGACAGGTTGACAATGACGGGTTGACTATGACAGGTTGACAATGACAGGTTGACAATGACAGGTTGACAATGACAGGTTGACAATGACAGGTTGACTATGACAGGTTGACAATGACGGGTTGACACCAACAGGTTGACAATGACAGGTTGACAATGACAGGTTGACTATGACAGGTTGACTATGACAGGTTGACACCAACAGGTTGACAATGACAGGTTGACTATGACAGGTTGACAATGACAGGTTGACTATGACAGGTTGACAATGACAGGTTGACTATGACAGGTTGACTATGACAGGTTGACTATGACAGGTTGACAATGACGGGTTGACACCGACGGCGTCTTCACGCTCACGCAGGCCCCCACAGAGGACTCGGGGCGTGTCCAGCGGCGGCAGTGCCAGCGGCGGTGCCTCCGCGCGCCGCCGGGCTTCACCGCGGACTTCACCGCGGACTTCACCGCGGACTTCACCGCGGACTTCACCGCGGGCTTCACCGCCATCGCCGCAGCAGCCCGTGGCGAAACGTTCCACATTCCCCGTGGCGAGCGGGCGGGCGGACGGGTGGGTCCGTCCAGGGTGGTGGACAACCGCTCATTTAATCAGCGCCCACAGGACCCCGTCAAACACCGGGAATCGAACCCCGCCGACCCTGGTGTGATGGCCCTCCCCGGCCCTCCCCGGCCTCCCCGGCCTCCCCTCCCGCCCGGGGGCTCACCTGACGGAGGAAGGTGATGGGCGTCTGCCCCATGGCATGCGCGTCCCCGATGTTCGCTCGGATCACCTCCGCGAACGGCTTGGAGACGCCCTGCACGCAGACGGAGATGAAAGATCCCCAACACCACCCTCCACCCTCCCACCCACCCTCCACCCTCCCACCGTGGAACCTGTATCGGGCTATCGGGGTCGAGTGTTGTTCGCGGAGGGTTGCTACGGCACGCCGGGGCGGGAGGGCGGGCGGGCGGGCGGGCGAGTGGCCACTTAAGCCGAACCGTTTTTATTTCATATTCTTAGTTTTTTCGGTAAAGTCACGTTGAAGGGAAACAACAAAATAATAAAACATATATAAAACAATAACAAATTCTCACGACGTTTCGACCATAACTCAAACGGTCGTCTTCAGGTGTGTTGGTTTGCATAAATTTATTTTTTTTAAACGGCGCATTTTTATTTCATTTGACCGGCTGAGCCCCGCACCTCCGTGGCTGTCGAGCTTATTGTTTCAGAAGCGACCTGGCCAACACAAGTGACAGCTCAGAGAAAGTGGCTCACCGCCATCATCATCATCATCACGTGGAAATGCGGAGCGGCGGCCAAGTACTCTGAACGCGGGACGCCGATTCTAAATGTGGAGGGGATAAACCGGAGGAGCCGGAGACAAATCCAAGCGGCGACCACGGGGAGAGAGAGAGAGGGAGGGAGACGCAAACTCGAAATATTACAGGCATCAGGGGGGTCGGGATCGAAACCACGACCTCCTGTATGCTAGGCGAGGTAGCTACCATGTTACCACCATGGCACGCCCCCACTACCATACCCGGCCGCCTTTGTCTCCCAAGTGGCGATGTTTACACATTGCGCCAGGTACTAGTTTGAGCCTGAGTAGACCTAGGGGAGGCCCAGCACCGGTTGAGATAATCGTCAGTGATGTCGGTGGCTGTGAGCGGGAATCGGACTCGGGTCGCCGGGTTCGTGGTGCAGCGCGCTAACCGCTGCACCACCGCTCCACCACACACACGCAGATATACAGACACACGGATACACACACAGACACACACAGATATACAGACACACGGATACACACACAGACACACACAGATATACAGACACACGGATACACACACAGACACACACAGATATACAGACACACGGATACACACACAGACACACACAGATATACAGACACACGGATACACACACAGACACACACAGATATACAGACACACGGATACACACACAGACACACACAGATATACAGACACACGGATACACACACAGACACACCCATATACAGACACACGGATACACACACAGACACACACACACATATACAGACACACGGATACACACACAGACACACACAGATATACAGACACACGGATACACACACAGACACACAGACACATGGATACACACACAGACACACACAGATATACAGACACACGGATACACACGCAGACACACACAGATATACAGACACACGGACACACACACAGACACACACAGACACACACAGATATACAGACACACGGATACACACACAGATACACACAGATATATAGACACACGGATACACACACAGACACACAGACACATGGATACACACACAGACACACACACAGATATACAGACACACGGATACACACGCAGACACACACAGATATACAGACACACGGACACACACACAGACACACACAGACACACACAGATATACAGACACACGGATACACACACAGATACACAGACACACACAGATACACACGGATATACACACAGACACACACACAGTATTGCCTTCAACTTGGACCCATATCTAACAAAGAGGGCCCTTGCCAATAAACAACTGGCAGTTCCCCAGCGAGTGAGCGAGTGGGTAGGCGTCCCGGTGAACGAGCCAGCGAGTGAGTGGGTAGGCGTCCCGGTGAACGAGCCAGCGAGTGAATGGGTGGGTAGGCGTGCAGGTGAACGAGCCAGCGAGTGAGTGGGTAGGCGTGCAGGTGAACGATCCAGCGAGTGAGTGGGTAGGCGAGCGGGTGAACGATCCAGCGAGTGAGCGAGTGGGTAGGCGTGCAGGTGAACGAGCCAGCGAGTGAATGGGTGGGTAGGCGTGCAGGTGAACGATCCAGCGAGTGAGTGGGTAGGCGTGCAGGTGAACGATCCAGCGAGTGAGTGAGTGGGTAGGCGTGCAGGTGAACGATCCAGCGAGTGAATGGGTGGGTAGACGTGCAGGTGAACGATCCAGCGAGTGAGTGAGTGGGTAGGCGTGCAGGTGAACGAGCCAGCGAGCGAGTGAGTGGGTAGGCGTGCAGGTGAACGATCCAGTGAGTGAGCGGGTGGGTAGGCGTGCAGGTGAACGATCCAGCGAGTGAGTGAGTGGGTAGGCGTGCAGGTGAACGATCCAGCGAGTGAGTGGGTAGGCGTGCAGGTGAATGATCCAGCGAGTGAGCGAGCGAGTGGGTAGGCGAGCGGGTGAACGATCCAGCGAGTGAGCGAGCGAGTGGGTAGGCGTGCAGGTGAACGATCCAGCGAGTGAGCGAGCGAGTGGGTAGGCGTGCGGGTGAACGATCCAGCGAGTGAGTGAGTGGGTAGGCGTGCAGGTGAACGAGCCAGCGAGTGAGTGAGTGGGTAGGCGTGCAGGTGAACGATGCAGCGAGTGAGCGAGTGGGTAGGCGTGCAGGTGAACGATCCAGCGAGTGAGTGAGTGGGTAGGCGTGCAGGTGAACAATCCAGAGAGTGAGTGAGTGGGTAGGCATGCGGGTGAACGATCCAGAGAGTGAGTGAGTGGGTAGGCGTGCAGGTGAACGATCCAGCGAGTGAGCGAGTGGGTAGGCGTGCAGGTGAACGAGCCAGCGAGTGAGCGAGTGGGTAGGCGTGCAGGTGAACGATCCAGCGAGTGAGTGGGTAGGCGAGCCGGTGAACGATCCAGCGAGTGAGCGAGCGAGTGGTTCGGCGAGCTGGTGAACGATCCAGCGAGTGAGCGAGCGAGTGGTTCGGCGTGTGGGTGAACGATCCAGCGAGTGAGCGAGTGAGTGGTTCGGCGTGCGGGTGAACGATCCAGCGAGTGAGCGAGTGGGTAGGCGAGCGGGTGAACGATCCAGCGAGTGAGCGAGTGGGTAGGCGAGCGGGTGAACGATCCAGCGAGTGAGCGAGTGAGTGGTTCGGCGAGCTGGTGAACGATCCAGCGAGTGAGCGAGTGGGTAGGCGTGCAGGTGAACGAGCCAGCGAGTGAGCGAGTGGGTAGGCGTGCAGGTGAACGATCCAGCGAGTGAGTGGGTAGGCGAGCAGGTGAACGATCCAGCGAGTGAGCGAGCGAGTGGTTCGGCGTGTGGGTGAACGATCCAGCGAGTGAGCGAGTGAGTGGTTCGGCGTGCGGGTGAACGATCCAGCGAGTGAGCGAGTGGGTAGGCGAGCGGGTGAACGATCCAGCGAGTGAGCGAGTGGGTAGGCGAGTGGGCGAACGATCCAGCGAGTGAGTGAGCGAGTGGTTCGGCGTGCGGGTGAACGATCCAGCGTAGCCGGCGCGCAGGCGCTCACCTCCTGCAGCTCCTTCTCGATCTGCTGCGCGCGGATCACGATGGGTCCCCGCACCGCGTACTCGAGGGCGCGCACGTTCTGGTTCATCGTCTCCAGCGTCAGCGTCCTCCACGCGGGCTCGGCGGCGACCCCATTCTCCCCGGCCGCGCCCGTCCGCTGCTTCGTGCCGGGCGAGGCGCACCGCCCGTTGCCGCCGCCGCCGTTGTTCATCGTGCCGGGCCGGTGGCTGCGCTGCTGCCGGTGGTCGGGGAAGCGCGGCGACCCGGCTGGCTGTCCACGGGAGATTGAGCGCAGGGCGCCGAGTCCTGCGCGATGAGGAGGAGGAGGAGGAGGAGGAGGAGGCCGGCGCATGCCAAAGAGGGCGGCACCAACGCCGGGCGTCAGGCGGACGCGAGCCATCGCGCCAGCTACCATCGCGACCCGCTGCCAAGATCACGTCGCCGCCGCCGCCGCCAGACCGAGCGGCAATTCACGAGCGCGGGAGATGTCGGCGGCGTGGACCGCGAGCGTCCCGTGGCGACGCCGCGGGCTGTTTCGTTATTTGGTTATCGCCGTGGCACGGGGGGCAGGGAGGGCGGTTGAACTTTGAACCTCCGAGTCGTGGCCGCTATCTCGCGGCACGGGTCAGCGGAGTCGGCGGAGTCGGCGGGGGCCAACGGCACAAGGGAGCAAAAGCCACCGCGGGGGGGGGGGGGGGGGGCGGGGGGGGTGCGGGGGGGTGCAGGCGCACCACCTGCACACTCGGCAGGTGAGGCACGCCGACACCGAAACCCCAACACGCCGACCCCCGAGTCCCCGATGCCGGCCCCCAACAATAACCCCGACACCGACCGTGACCCCTGACGCTCCGACCCCGTCGCGAATTAATTGAACGGTGCCCCCCCGTCACCCCCCCCCCCCCCCGCCGCCCCGGCTGGCGGTCGGATCGCCTCGACGACGCTGCGAGTGGCCACGACTCCCACACACGGAGCGGCGGCCGTGGGTGTGGGGGTCAGGGTTCAACTGGAGCATCGCTTGCGTTGGATTTTCTCTGTCTCTCTCTCGCTCTCTCTCTCGCTCTCTCTGTCTCTCTCTCTCGCTCTCTCTCTCGCTCTGTCTCTCGCTCTGTCTCTCGCTCTGTCTGTCTCTCTCTCTCGCTCTCTCTCTCGCTCTCTCTGTCTCTCTCTCGCTCTCTCTGTCTCACTCGCTCTCTCTGTCTCTCTCTCTCGCTCTCTCTCTCGCTCTCTCTCTCGCTCTCTCTGTCTCTCTCTCGCTCTCTCTGTCTCACTCGCTCTCTCTGTCTCTCTCTCTCGCTCTCTCTCTCGCTCTGTCTCTCGCTCTGTCTGTCTCGCTCTCTCTCTGTCTCTCTCTCGCTCTCTCTCTCGCTCTGTCTGTCTCTCTCTCTCTCTCTCTGTCTCTCTCTCGCTCTCTCTGTCTCACTCTCTCTGTCTCTCTCTCTCTCTGTCTCTCTCTCTCTCTGTCTCTCTCTCGCTCTCTCTGTCTCACTCGCTCTCTGTCTCTCTCTCGCCGACTCTGCCACTCTTGCTCTCTCACTCTCTCTCTGTCTCTCTCTCTCTGTCTCACTCGCTCTCTGTCTCTCTCTCGCCGACTCTGTCACTCTTGCTCTCTCGCTCTCTCTCTCTCTCGCTCTCTCTCTTGCTCTCTCTCTGTCTCTCTCGCTCTCTCTCTCTCGCTCTCGCTCGCCGTCTCTCGCTCTCTCTGGTTTTGTGTTTTGTTTTTCCTCCCCCGGCTTCGCCCGGACTTTGTCACTCGCAGAGAAGAGGGCACCCGTGAGTGGCGGTGGGACGTGGTGGGTGAGAAGATCGGGGTGGGGGGGGGGGGATGAGAGGGACGATGGGAGGATGGCGGTGGATGGGGGTGGTGGGTAGGGTGGTGGGTGGGAGGCCAAGGGTTGAGTGAACAAGGATGCCGCTGTGTCTGTGACCGCCGCACCGCACGTGATCATCGCGCTGCCACCCCCGTTTGGTGATCGTCGCTTGGTGTCGGGGTCACTGTTAGGGGTCGCTTCGTGTCGGGGTCACTGTTAGGGGTCGCTTGGTGTCGGGGTCATTGTTAGGGGTCGCTTGGTGTTGGGGTCATTGTTAGGGGTCGCTTGGTGTCGGGGTCATTGTTAGGGGTCGCTTGGTGTCGGGGTCATTGTTAGGGGTCGCTTCATGTTGGGGTCATTGTTAGGGGTCGCTTGATGACCGTCCGTATTATTGTTGTCGTTATCGTCCGGCGTCTCCGATTAAGCGCGGTTGGCCCACGTACGGTGCGTAAGAAGTTCAACGTACACACGCAAAGACAAAGATCCCCCGTGTAGCCTGTAACAGACTGTAGGGGCAAGTGCTTTTACCGAGCAGCGCCTATGAAGGCCGGCACGGCACACGAGGGGGTGGGTGGCCAGCACCACGCCCGGCCGCCTTTGTCTCCCCAGTGGCGATGTTTACTACACACCGCACCAGGTACTCATTTGAGGCTGAGTCGACCTGGGGATGGCCGAATCCCGGTTCAGATAATCGTCACTGGTGTTGGTGGCCATGAGCGGGAATCGAACTCGGGTCGCCGGGTTCATAGTGCAATAGCGTGCTAAACGCTGCACGTACGGTGCAAAAGAAGTTCAGCATTCATACACACATACACGTACACAACAACAACAACAACCGCCATTCGCCACTAAGTGGCGGTGACGTCACCACGACGCTTGTGCCAGGCTATGTGCACCCTGAGGCCACGTGAAGTGTCGAACGCCCGCCGGCAGGAGGTCACGGGGCAGACCCAGGTGCCACGGGTCGACTGTCTGAGATGACTGAGATGACTGGCTGATGCACCACCTGTGCCCCCTACTGTGCCAACCTGCTGTGCTTTAGCCACCCGGCGCTCTGCTCGTTGTTGTGAGCGTCGCTCCTCCGCCCTCCGTTGTTGTTGGAGGGTGACTACCTCCAACTGCCCAGTAGCATCCTTCACAAGCCTCCTCCAAATTGGCCGATCTTGACACCGCTGGTACCAGTCATCGGCAAGTCCACTCAGCTCCACGTCCTCCTGTGCCACATCACTCCATCTCTTCTCTAGCCCGTGCCGCGCCCGTTTAGCTCGATCCGGCCGAACAAAAGCTGTTTCGGCATGCTGGGCATGCGGGCTACATGACCCAGCCAACGTACACACACACACGCACATACACACACATGCATACACACACGTACACACACACACACATTCGCACAAAATATGAACAGCATAAACTGCGTTGCGACGTCATTTGATGGCTGTCGAAGGCGAACGACACGGCGATCTTTAACCCTCGACGAGCTCGACACGACGCGCCAATCCAAGTTTCAAAGTTTTCTTTGGGGGCCGGCCATAAATGACATCACGCGATTTTGGACGATTTTTGACCCCTGTACACCAGGCGAGGTAGTAAACATCTCCTAGCCACCGTGATGATGATGATGATGAGAGAGAGACACGCAAACTCCAAATATACAGCAGCAGGCGTCAGGGTCGGGATCGAACAGACAACCTCCTGCATACCAGGCGAGGTAGTCAACATCTCCTAGCCACCGTGATGATGATGATGATGTGAGAGAGAGAGACACGCAAAATTCAAATATAAAGCAGCAGGCGTCAGGGTCGGGATCGAACAGACGACCTCCTGTACACCAGGCGAGGTAGTCAACATCTCCTAGCCACCGTGGCACCCACCCACTACCATGCCCGGCTGTCTGTCTCCTTAATGGAGATGTTTACACACCTCACCAGCTACTAATTTGAGGCTGAGCAGACCTAGAGGGGAGGCCTCAGACCGGTTCAGATAATGGCTCACTGGGCGGCGAGTGAGAATCTAACTCGGGGCGTCTCGCCACCGTGTGGAGACGTTTTTGTCTCTCCACTGCTGGATGAGGGGGCATCCCCACTCCCGGGCAGTGGGGCGTCTCTTGGCCATACTTCACCACACCGGTCAATGCGGGCCGAGGGTCGGGAGGAGAGACACCGGCTCGGACTTCGCCCACCGGCCGGCGTGGGCCACGGGGCCGGGAATCGAACTCGGGCCCGGCGGCTGCCGGGTGCCGCAGTGCGCTAACCGCGGCGCCGCCACTCCTCCGCTCCCCCCCCCCCCCCACCCCAACCAATCGTCGTGTGTGAACGCGGCGCTGACCTCTGCCCGGCTTTGTTGTTGTTGTTGTTGTGTTACCCCCCTCAGCCCCCACCCCCCCCGTCCGCCCCAGCGTGTTGAAATACGGCAACAACAACGCAGCCGACCGTCCCCGCGTGTTTACAATCTGCCCGCCGTTCAACAATCTGGGCAAATGTTCTCTCGGTGCCTGTGCCTCCTCCTCCTCCTCCTCGGTCTGGATAACTCTGAACCACGGGGCACATTTGTTGACTGGCTCGCTGGCTGGCTGGCTCGCTCGCTCGCTCGTCCGTCCGTTTTGCACCCCAATGCACTCGCTCGTCCATTCGCGTCTCTCGCTCGCACTCATTCGCCCGTTCGCTCACCCACTCATGCGCTCAGGCACGTGCTCGCTCATCCACCCGACTCTGCTGCACGTTCACCGATATGCTCGTTGGCTCAAGTCACTCGGGCTGCACCTTTGCTCACCATGACCCCGTGCAGGATCCCCAGATTCTGCTCAAACCACATCGTACACCACCCAGCGTCACCACCACCACCACCACCAACAACCGCCAGTCGCCACTAAGTGGCGGTGACGTCACCACAGCGCTTGTGCCAGGCTATGTGCACGTTAAGGCCACGTGAAGTGTCGAACACCCGCTAGCAGGAGGTCTCGGGACAGACCCAGGTGCCACGGGTCGACTGAATGAGATGAGTGGCCGATGCACCACCTGTGCCCCCAATGTGCCAACTTGCTGTGTTTAAGCCACCCGGCGCTCCGCTCGTTGTTGTGAGCATCGCTCCTCTGCCCTCCGTTGCCCCACCACCGTATGCTGAGGCATGTGGTGGCTGGGCATGCGGGCTACATGACCCAGCCAACGCAGCCTTACCTGGCGGAGGAGCTCACCAATGGGACTTGCCCAGATCTTTCAAGGATTTGTGAGCTCCTCACACAATCCAGCCTGGTTAAACCCAGGATGGATCGAAGGCAGGCCAGCCTAAATGTTTCTAATCGACGAAGATGTTCCATTAGGGGGGTCCACGTTTTGCAAGCGTAGAGGAGGGAATGACTGTGGCCGAGAAGACCTAAAGCTTAGTGCGGAGCGACAGACCAGGTAGCTTCCACACAGCGTTACGCAACCGATGAAAAGATATTGCCGCTCAACTGATTCGGAGTGAGACCTCTGCTGTTAAACCGGAGCAGGTCGTGAG